GAAGCAACACGGCCTGTACTACCGACGGTTTTCTCACGCGTCATTCGCTTCAACCGAGTTCAGAAACGCTTCATGTTCTTCTTCGACCCAAAGTCAAACCTGGCAGCTAGACACCTGCATGGATATATGATGATATATGCTGATATCTGCTGATCTCCCCATAATTCGATCTGATCTACTTCTCTCTCCGTGGCGGTCCTTCTTCCGCACCGATCCGACCCGCACCGCCACGGTTCGGGTGAGAAGGACATGTCCCGGTTCCGGCCACCGACGAACACACCGAGGTCCACACGCCCAAGGAGGGTCTCCGACCTGGGCTGAGTTTCGGCCCCGCGGGGATAGGTGGTCTTATGTTCTTTTGGGACGGTGGCTGAATGAGTTGAACTAAAGAGTAATATCAATTTTCATATGCACACCGTAGTAGTAGATTCCGCACCCCAGTAGATTCCAGAAATGATCAAAAAGCATCTTGCCAAGACGATCCCAGAATCTGTCCTTCATACATTCACGTGTCCTTCGTGCTTCTCTGGGAAGGAGGCCTCACCATTCACTGCTTCGACCATCGACTGAACATCGACCCCCCAAAGCTGAGAAAGACTCGCCAGGCTCGTGCCAGGCTCGTGTTTGCGCCAGGAACGTCTAACCCTTTCTCCAAAGAACCCAACATGAACCAAGCGTAGCTGCATAGCTTTGGAAAGGCCAGGCGTTTTCGAGGCTCTTGAGGGTGTTTGCATTTACATAATGGTGTGATTGCTTTCTATATCTATAGTCTATTTCCGCTCGAGAAGAAACCATGTTTGACAGGACAAAATACTATTGCCCCCTATCCCCAATTCTCTACAAAGTTCCTACCTCTCTTCGTGCTGGTTCTCCACCGGTTGTTCTCCGTCTCCGTTCTCGCTGCAAAGACCCCCCCCGCCACGCGTCACGCGCCACGGGAACCCCGCGCCAACGCGCGGGAGTCAAGGCACTTTCTCACTCAGACAACAGCAGAAATGAAAGCAGGACTCCGGGTCACAACTCCGGTCGTGAGAGCAGCCGACCTCCATCGCTGGGCCACCGAGCATTCCTCTGGCCCAGCCGTGGCCGTGCAGGCCCCGAGCAAAATAGTCGATTCAAAGCCGGTGGATGAGGCTATGGCCTCCTCATAAGACGATAACCTGTTCTAGTGTACCGCAGAGTCGGAGGTAGCTTGCGATATGGATATACAATCCGTGCTGATACAATAGAAATCCACTGCCTATAGCAAGCATGAAGCTTTGGCCGAAATCATCTAATTACAGACACTTTTTTGTGTATTTTTGGGCACATCATGTGTCTTGATGGACTTCTTTAAAAAAGGCACCCACATATTTAGACACTTCAAGTCTTGATCCGTTCGTGTCTACCTACCGTTCGTCCGTCCGTTCGATCTCCAAACGCTTGACTGGTCCACGCTCTGACCTGCTCTGACCTGCTCTCACTGTGTCGGGAAAAGATCTTGCAAAATGGGCATCGCTTGACGGGTCCGAAGGATCACCCCATCTGGGAGATCCCCTTGATACGGCGCCCAGGATCATCCGAAGACGTGAAAGTCCAATGATGCTGCACTTAATGATGTGAATATATGTAAATATATGTAATCATATAGATGCTATACACTGTATTATTTGTACTAAACCTCTGTAGTATTGTTTCTATCTCTGTCGCGGTTCGAGACAGCCGTGCACCGTTTGACCAAAGACCAACTCGAGTGCGGGCATTTTCCTGTTTGAACGCGAGCGAACAGGGGCTGGTTCCATCTCAGTGTCCAAAGTCGACCTTCGATGCTGGTTGGGGGTTTCGTTCCATGAGCCGAAATCCACCAAGTACGGAAGAAATCTGCTATGTTGATGTCCGTCTTATTTCATCATAGGCACCGGTGGTTCAAGAAGCAGTGTCAATCAGTAGCAGTAGCAGTGTACGTGTTTGTGCCAGTAGCCCCCTCATCTCTACTGTTGCTTTCGCAAAGTCCCAACCACGCAGGGGTTTCTTCCTGCTTTCAACACGCGTGCTTGGCTGATTCAGTGACCACACCTCTGTGATCATGACTCGGTGGCCAGGACTGGAATGGCAGGCCCCCCCCGGAATTCTTGCATCTATATTCGTGGTGTGCCAACCAGACTCACTGGTACCACAATTCCCCAAAAAAACAGAACTATGCCAGGCAGGGAAAGTAGTTTGTTGGATGATTTTGAAGAAACATCAACACTTTGCAAGCTCTTTGATCTTTAGGTCCACCAGGCACAAGAGTCATTCACTTCCTGCATTCCATCACTCTGGATGCTGGGCGTGTCCGTGAAGCGGCGCGTGGCAAACGGTCTGAGCGATCAACGATTGCCCTTCCTGCGAAGTGGCCGGTGAGACCAAACGCTTCCACCGTCATCCGCCCAGTGCTCCGACTCCGATTCCGGTGAAGATCGCCTCTCTCGGTGATGTAGCGACCAACGTACGGGGGAATAGGTCGAGTACCGGCGATGGGCCGGAGAGGTGAAACCACGCGGCTGACAGAATCCATATCCGAACCCAAAAAGACAAACAAACAAACAAACAAAGCGATAGAGAGAGAGAGAGAGAGCGCTAAGAACGAAGCAAGCTAAGGACGAAGCATGATTTGAAGTGGACCTTTGTTGATCATGGGCCTCTCTGTCGTTGGCATTCCCTCATCTTGGCGTTGAGACGTTTGCATCGGGGTTACTGGATTCCTTGCCAAAGACTTTGTCTACAGTAATCTATTCTTACGTGGTCATTAATCAAACAAGGCCATACCGATACACATACAGTACCCCTCCAATTACTTGGATGATCTTGCTTGAAAGCCACCAGTCTTCGACGTCGAGCACCAAGCTGCGCATCTCTTGTACAACACCGGGCGGATTGTGCGAAGGTGCCAGAAGATAAAGGGCATCTTGCCCCTTTATGTGTCTGAGCTTGCATCGTCGGTTGACGACAAGTGCCTGTCCAAATTGGTCCGAACACCGATCCAATGACGATCCAATGTGTCAGAAACGACTCGACTGGCGCAAATGGACCGCACAGAAATAACCCCCTTTCAATTCGCGTGATTCCGACTTGGCAGTGGCAGTGGTGCTGAACAGCTGCTGTGGTTTCAACGGCTTTGTGAGCCACGGGCTCGTCGTTGAGAGATGCAAGCTCAGGTCGTGTCCTACTCCGGGAAAACACTGAACCTGTGGTGGTTCATGCTGGACCCCCCAAAGCTATCAAATGATGAGCACCAAAGTTAGTGATGTGTTGTGGGATGAGGTTATAAATCATCTGCCAACACATCAACCAAATTTTAACTGAATCCATACATCACAGATGTATGGTGTCAAAAATTGCATAAAGAGGTGCGAGAAACTTTCTATGACTTCTGGTTTGGATCATATTTCATGGCATCAAGTTTTGGACTTGTCCAAACCCTCATTTCTTGCCACACGAGATGAATGGTCTTTCAACGTGTCCAGTTGTAGAAAACAAGTCTGCGTCGCTTACAACAGCAACAAGAAAACACTTTCGGATGTGCTGAGGAATTAGTGAAGGATGTCTGCAGAAGGTGCAGCTTCATCATGCTTCCAACCTATCAAGTTTTGAGGCTCACCCTTTCAGTTGATGGCCTCCAACCTAAGAGCGATGGGGTTCAATCCAAGTTGGGATCAATTGGAAACAGTTGGGTTAAACTTTAACTTCCCAAGTTCCCTAGAATGGAAAGTCCTATACTCCTATACAAACCTGTGCTCGGAGCGGTGCGTCACGCCCACAAGAAGAGACTCTACGATGTCAAACGTTGGAATGTCAAGTGAAGATTACCAAACTGAACAGAAAATCTAATAGTCTGATAATATTTGATAGACTCCTATCAACATGTGCTTTGAAGTGCGACCGATCTTGTTCTTGTGTTTCTTGGCCATCGATTGTGAAACGATTCGCACCCACCATCTGGTCCAGCCTCGATCTAGTCAGCTCGATATTTTTTCAGTTTGACAGCGTTGGCCGAGCAAACGCCAAGAGGTTCGGCCTTGAGGAATCTGATCTAAACAACCGGCGCCCAATGGCCCTGCTTCAGCGCATCATGAAGCCTAAACATCCACATACTGATGAATATATAGACCATCCTAGACCAATATTTGGTTATCGCGTCAAGTGTGCAAGGACGTCCTAAGGACATCCTAAGGCTCCCTCCGGATTGTTCGAATGCCTGAATCCAGTAAGGAAATGGATCTGAATCTACCAACATCGCAGCAAAAGAAAAACAACGCGTCCAGCAGCTATCGGAGCAGCTATCTGAGGAAACTTCATACCAGTTGTGCAGGGAAGGACAAATCAATCTAATTAAATTCTTGTTTCTAATAGCAAACATTGTTACTAGTAGTAAGGCCAGGAGCCCCTAGTAGCGTCCTTGCTCCTAGTAGCGATGCCAGGAGCCCCTAGTAGCTATTTCAGTGACTCTTGGACTTCCGAACTTCCAAAATGTCCACCGCCTCTCGACTCTCGTGTGCCAGCTGCACCCGTGTGAACGGGCGCAGCTGCGGTTGCCACCCCCCCTCAGCCGTGCTTGAACTTGGTCATCTCCGAGATCCAACCTGGACTCGGACGCTTGGATGGTAGAATTCACTTCTTGGAATTTGGAGCAGCACCTGCCCTTGGAGTATATAGAGTTTGTGGATGTTTGTGGATGTTTGAGATCTTTCAAGCATCCAATCTGGGAGCCGGAGCATGTTGCTCGGCCTTTTCGTTATGTACACTCCTCCGGTCCTCCAGAAGCACTCCAGGGATGGGTCAGTTGGCACCACTAGGGCTTCTGAGACCTGCGATTTCTCCAACAAGGCTGGATGTCAATCAGGCCCCAAGAATAATTAGCGATCCATCAGGCATCTACGCGATCTCTCTGCCCCTCTTTTCCTTCAAATTTCGTGTTTCAGAGTTCCAAGTCAGTTGCCAGCTCAGGCCAAATCGCTTCCTCTTGGACCCGCCTTCCGCAGTCACACCCTGGACCCTTTCTCCACCCTTTGAGGTGCCCCCCCGGGTAACGGTCGACCGTCCAAGGTACGGTCGCGCAAGGCCTCGGACTCGGCGGCGAACTCTCCGGGAGCAAACTCGACACCACTGTTGGGCGCCAGCTGCACTTGAAAGGCCCACCTGGCGAGACGGACGGCACGGCGGCCGGCACAAACGTGCTGCACAAAAGGGCCGTGCTGCTGCCGTGCAAAATGAGCGACCAGACGATGCGGGGGGACTGCAGCTTGCAGCCCTTTTTGGGAGGAAGTTCGATAGCTAATTTGGATTGTGGTGTTCAAGGGCTCCAAGTGGTACAGGAGCATCCTCACAATGAGGATCATTTTCTCTTTGCAAAGAGTGGTCCTCATTGGTTGGTTTGGACTGCTGGACAGCAGAGTCCAAACTGCGCCATTAGGCTGCGCTTGCAGTAGGAAAGGAAGGAATGTCCAGGGCATCAGGAAATCCATGGGAACTGCTTCTCCGAGAAAATCAGTCTTTTGGCAGCTCGCAGGGCAGTCAGGGTGCAGGGCACTCGGGCTTCTCACTGTGGATGCTTTCACACGTTCAAGTGTCCGACCCTAAACAAGGTCAAGGAGGTATATGGAGGTCCGGATTTGGAGCCTATCTTCACATTGGGCCTATCTTTCATGCGTCTGCAAAAGACCTGTGAGCTCTTTTCCACCTGTTTTTGGGCTCCTTCCTCCCGGGTCAGGCGATAGGTCGGCACTCGTCGGCCTATCGCTGAACGCCGAGGTGCGGATGGGTCGCGTCGTCCTTCTCCAAGAAGATGAACTTCGCGTTTGCAATGTCGTCCGCGGTGTAGTAGACCAACTCTCCTTGGGTGTACAATGTACCACATGTGCTTTATATTAAGTCACCTGGGCGAGCTTGGGGCCGCCAAATTCAGGACGGAGAGCCATCCAACAGGGTGGTTCTGAAGCGAGCTTTTGTGGAGATCAGCCCAAGTGCCAAGCAGTTTACGAAGAGAGCTTGTCACAACAGCAGTGGCCCAGTGTATACAGATGGAGAGCACGGTCACTGTGATGATGGGTTTCAACAAGAACACTTGATGCCCGTGTTTTGAGCCACTACTACAGCTCTCTCGCCACTGGGGCCCTCGGGCTCTCGGGCCTAGCTAATGGTATTGCTCAGGTTGAAAGGCTGGTAAGCCTGTCATTTGTGATCCAACTGACATCCAAAATGATTGATTCCAACTGTCAGTCATGTCTTCATGGTGTGTTTTGGCTTTGATGAGGCACCAGCCATATGTCCATCTCTTCCTAATCGACAGTCCACTTGGAGCCCCTCAGGATGGACCTGGCTCTATAGAGCCCGGTTGGTCAAGAATTGTACTCTTGCACTGGCAAGCCAACTGAGCTGGAAAACAAGTCACAAACTACATCAACTTCAGCCTTCACCAATCTTCATCAGTACAACTTGTGGCCAAAAGAGCCAAACAGTGACTCCCCGACCAAGGTCTTTTTGCAGACCTGGCCAGCAACTCCAGTACACGGTACACGCGCCAAGCGACGGTCTTCCTTCTTGCTCCAGTACACCAAGGAGCCTCAGGAGCTCCAGCGCGCTAGAACCAGGATGAATGTCACCGATTCATATCGCAACAAACTGGGCAAAGTCGAGTCCAGCGACAGCCAACATGACCGTTTTTATTCAATCTAGGGTTCCAAATTCAGCGTTCTTTAAGGTTCCAAATTAAATTGCCGCGTTTCACCTACAAAGGATAGCAGTTGGCAGCCCCTGCATACTGTATGTATCACAGAAACCAGATGAAACAGCAAAAACAAAACCAGAATCCACCGAAAAAAAACGATGAAGTCAGTCAGGTTTCTGTGGCCTACGCCTCTGTCGCCAAGACACCGTTCTTGGCAATCCACATCTCGCGCTCGAACCAATCCTCCGCCTTCTTACGATCTCCTGGCGACGCGACGGCGCTACTGCGCACGCGCTCCACGCGTGAAGAGCCACTCACCTGACTCCCCTTTGGATGCGGCGAAGAGTGGTCTGAATGGCCGGTATTTGTTCTGCCAATGACCAGAGCGACCAAGAGCAGGTGCAGATTCTATCAGGGTTTGCTACTTCTTCAATATCCAGATCCAATAGTTTCAGGTCATATTGCTGGTGCAGGGTGTCCAAGTGGGTAAACCTGGAAAGCTCAGAGCAAGCCAAATTTAGAAACAGCAGCCCAAACATCACCACACTAACTACTACACTACACACTACACTAATTTATGTAGTTATAGCACTTTATAAATAGAGAGAGCTGCTCCAACTTTCTTTGCGGGCTCTGTATATACCTTTAAAAAACACCCGTTCAAGCATACCTCCAACCAATCCACTGGTTGCCTCGACTTCTTAGCAGTCTTGGGTTCCAACTTTTCCTCAATCTCAAAGACACACAAAACCAATGCACTGAAGAAAACAAGAATTGCCACTTCTTATTTGTGGATCTCAGAGTTTTCGGAGCTCCCACTCTGCCAACACTGCCAGGGAGGCGGTGAGAAGGGACTTGTGAGTGTCGAAAGGCCCGTCCAGATCCACCGACATTAGAATCCATCGTTCCTGTGCTTTGACCACCCGATTCGTGTGGTTCCGTTCCGCCTCCGCCCGGGGGCGGCCCGGCCTTCGGCTTTGACCTTCCAGAGCTTCGCCTTGAAGACGGGAGCGAACTGGTCCTGTGCGAAGAGCTTCGCAGGAACGGGTGGATTCCACCCTCTCCAAGGCTGAGACCAAACAGATCGAAGGCGAACGTGCCGTGCGCTTTCGTTCATGCCAGTAATTCTGAATGGAAGAACAAACACATTTCTGTTTTTGACCCCCCTTCTCTTTAGACTGAGAACCTCATTGCAAAACAGTTGGATGAACCAAAATGTAACGAATTTGAGTGGTTTTGTTCATGTTTCATGTGATTGTTTTTGTTCCTCCCACTGTGAGGAGTTTTTTGCTAGTAACCCCATCCTTGAGAATTTCCTGTTGCAGAATTGCCAAAGAGGGGGGAAGCAAGTGTACAGATTCTATTCTTCCAACTGCGTGCATGAAAGCGGCGCAACAGCACTGCAATGCCAATCATGTCCAATCCCAATTGGCAAAATGGAAGGTAACAATAACATGTTGTTGCAAGTTTATTACCACACCCTGTATAGATTAATGGGTGGGAATAACAAAAAAACTTTTCGCCCGGTGTGCTGTTTTAAAACATCTGTCGATTGTTCTATTGTTCTGCTATTGCTGCCTTTGAATATTCATGCTTAACGGCTATACTATACCTACCAATACTACCGCTGCTACTACTATTACTCCTGCTGCTGCTGCTGCTGCTGCCGCTGCCGCGTGCCGCTGCCGCTGCCCCTACTACTACTACTACTACTACTACTACTACTACTACTACTACTACTACTA